ATTGCTTATACGAGAAGCAGAATTCTCGTTAATTGGGAAACCGTGTCAGATAAAATAATAGGAAGCCTGTATATATGGGGTGATTCGAAATTGCTCGTAACTCTACTCGATGTATGAAGCAAAAGTTGCCTGATTTCAAGGGGCACATATGTTACAATAATTGTCTTTTCCTGCATTCTTCTTACACATCACGTAGAATGTAAAAAACGAGATCGAGTAAAAGATGTTTGTATCATTTTTCAAGTAAACTCGGATTGGGACGCGGCAGTCGATGGTATTCTAGCGAAAAACGGCGGGATTGAAGGCTACTACACGCTGGGTGCGGGTGCAAGATGCAATATCGACGAAAGATCAACGTTCCGTTGTAAATTCAACACCGATCTTCAGCTGGGCATGGGTCTGCAACAGAAACTCGACGAGAATATCACGCTGAGCTTATCCTTCAACATCGACTGCGCTAATGTGACGAGAGGAGGTCATAAAGTTGGCCTAGCCATTGAGATCGAGGCGTAAAACGTTCGACCAATGTGAACGTTCCGATGGATTCTTTTTTTTTTGTAATAATACTCTTTCACGTCTGGTATTTTCTTTTCACTTCTTTCTCACGTACGTAATTCTCACTGTCTTGATTTTAAACAACGTCTATTACGTTCATATTAAAATAGTATATTCCGAATTTGTCGAGAGATCACACACACACACTCTCTCTCTCTGTCGTCTGTTAGAATTGTAACGATGGCGAAGTTATTAATATCACGCTAAATGTAAAATTAGTAATAAATTTGACAGGATGAAATCTATATATTACGGCAAATATATTAGTAATCTCTGTGTAAAAGTTACATTCAATTTGTTCATTTTCTTCCAGCAGAAAAAGTTGTTTTAAGCTTAGAGATGACGAATGCACGAAGATACATAAGTATATTGCTGTTCGTAAATATTAGGTGTAGAAATGAATTTTTTCCGATTTTTTTTTTTGGGTATAATCAAAGTTTTATTTAAAAATAATGAAAACAGATCATAAATCGAAATAATTTCCATTATTATCGATTTATCCTTTTGCCATTTTTCTGGAAGCTTGTAAATACCATCGCGATAGGAACTCGGTGGTTTTGAAACAATTATAATAATATTAGAAAATTATTAGAAAATAATTTGATTTATTAACATTGTAAAATTTCCTAAATTCAAATTCCAAAGCTTCAGTATCGTCTCTTTTTCTTTTTTCTTTTTCTTACAAGCAGTAGTAGTAGTAGATTGTGATTAAACGTCGAATAAACTGCCTGAAAATATTATCAAGAATGACGCTTTTATACGAGATATACCTAACAGAATCGGCGGTAAATTAAAGGTCATTGAACCGATGCATGTAAATCAATGCTGCCCAGCAATGGTGCTCTTCTCATGCGCCTGCTTGCGCATCTAATTGTTTTTTTTTCTGCGCAGAATACCTACGTTCTTAATCAGGGAAACCATAGCTGTGAGCTTCCTCGATCGTAGAGAAGCTTTTTAGCTATGGCTGCTTCTTTGGCTATCGTGGCAATTTCATTGATGATGCAGATTGAAACTCCTGGATTTGCATAGCACTAACATAGACAATAAGCACTTACTCTGTGCCGTGGAACTGCTGGCATGCTACTAGTCCTTCCACGATATTGCCTTGGCCCAGGCATCCGGGCGGTAAACGTTGAACCGCTGACTGATCCAGCTGGACTGGTCGGACTTGGACCACCTGGACTCGTCCGTGGATTCAAATGAGACGAGGAGGAAACTGTCAAAGGGCTTATCGCTGGTGTTTTCGTAGGACTCTTCAATGAAGGCGTTAAATGACCCCATGGGCCGGCTTCTGCTTGCAGAAACCTATTGTTTTGAGGAAAGAATCTCCTATAAATTATTCCTATAGTTCGTACAGGGAAAGGTAAGAATCGCCCTGGAACTGAAACGTTCAGTTGGGGTAGAACGAGATATTTATATCATATTTGGATAGACGATATTTGTCTATATTATTATACTTAAATACATTTATTCTTAATTACTTATATATTATTACATATTAGACCCTCCCCCCCTACATGTAGAAATAAATAATGACATATAGAAATTTTTTTTTTCTAACCGTTGGGGCGGTCACCCATCTTAACATTAGTCGCGAGGAATGCAGCTTGACTTGGAAAAGCTACCGACGAGTCACCCTACCCAGTCCCCATTTCTCCCACGATAAAAGAACTGCGTTCTTATATTATTTAAAGTTAGAATAATTATAGTAAATTTACTACAGTCATTTGACATAAAATAGTCACTTCTAAGTCACACGGCGTTACAAAGGGTTAAATTAAAATCTACGATTGAATCGAAATATTATACGATCGAATAAAAAGCCAGAATAAATTCAATTATTTCGACGAACCACTTCTGCATGTTATTCAATGAAGAACAGTATCGTACACAGGACAACCGACAATTTAAAATTTACGAGCACGCGAACAACTCTTCAGCCTCTTCACTTTTCTCATTTTCCCTTCTCTTGCTTTCTTTGCACGATCCTTCGTCTTTTCGATATTAACTCCAGGACAGCAGGATAAGTGAGAGATATTACTGTACAGTAGGGAACCTGAAAATATTGGGTCGAGTTGGGATGGAAATTTTTTCCGGGATCGGGACGGGTTCCCGAAAATTTCGAGTTTTCCGAAAATGTCGGGATTCCCGGGAGAGACGGGATTCTGAAAAGTGTCGGGATTCCCGAAAGTGTCGCAATTAAATAAGTAAAAACTTTTTTCACAGTGCGCTGTTTGCAAAATTACAACGATAAATATGTAAAATTGACGATTTTCAATCACATCGTTATATACCTGTGCAAGTCTGGAGTTGGCCTGGCAACCGCTATGCTGGAGCTGCGTCGTCTGGAAGGAGTTGGCGATTTTTGGCTATCAACGCTCGAATGTCCTTGGAATCCTGTCAAAGAGGTGCGATGCAGGCGAACTTCGATCTCGCTGCTTCGCCTCTGAAAGGCCCTCTTACTCCATCGTCTACTCTTTGAGTCATATTCCGAAGTCTCCTGCTGCTTTCTGAAAGGACCGCGATGACTTAGCAAAAAGCCTTAATTGCTAATTTATTTTCGTCACCGGATCGAGCTATTTTAACAAGAGCCAGGTCAAGTGTTGGGGTGCAATTCAGATTGCAAGCGATTTTTTTTTCGTGAAAGGAGGAGGATAGAGCTTACTAGCCAGAATTTTTATCGAGCTAACATTTCTCTTAGATAGTAGATTCAAATGTTTTATCGGCAATTATATTAGGTCATCCCATAAGTTCGTGTCGAATTTTATAATTTAGATATCTCATTCCACAACTTTTTCCTATTTCTTTTTTTCTTTTTTGATAAGACCATTATTCCTTGAATTTTCATTAAAATATTTCTCTTTCGGCACGAATTTAGGACAAAAACATAACTCCATTGAAATTAAACACTTGTATCTAAAATAATTTCCATAATACTCGATACACTTTTGTAAACTGTCTTTTTTTCTGCGATTTTTCTTCTGCGGAGCAAATCTACCGCAAAAAAAAAAGAGACTCGAGTGTATATAAAAATTCGAATTTCAAGGTTCTTCTCTTCAGGAAGCTCGAGATATTTAGGCGGGAGTGAAATTTGGCGCTAAATCATGCGGTGTGTTTTTTCCCGCGGAAATGCAAATTTCACCGAGTAGCTACCACGTTCGCTATTGAACTTCGCATGATTAGAATCTTCGAGTGCCTGCAGCCTTCCTGCTGCGTCTTTAAGTCAAAATTAGCCGTGACCGTGTATTAAACCTTCCTAAACATTGTTATCTTTGACTCGCTCCTAACCTAACCTGACTTTATCTTCGTTTCTCTATTGTTAGTTTAAATTCTAAAGTCCATCCCTCTGACTTATTGCTGATTTCTACAACTTTCTTATATAGTACTCGTCTAAAATTTAAATTAGCTTAAATCGTTGTACTCTTGTTTTTAGTCATCCAACCTGAGACCATAAGTCATATGGATCGTTTATTACGAAAGTGGTGTAAGTCTATTTTTCAAATGTTTGCATTTCAGTCGATTCAAAAATACTGATAAATTCTACTAAGTTTCCTAAAGTTTCTACGAATTTAAATATATGTAAATTCATTGTACAAATGATTTTTATGAGAATTAAATTAAAACCATATTTTCTTGGGGATCATAAATGGACTTACACCATTTTCATAATTTAAGAAATTGCAGTCCTTGTACAATCGATGAACTTATTTTATCGCCATACAATCCCCTCAACTAAATAGTATACTTGTGCGATAGTGTGAAAACTTGCATCTGCGAGTTTGAGAAAAGTGTTAGATCCAAGGATTGGACAATTCCGAAGTGCTCACGCGTAGACCATCGCAGTACATACTTACAATATATGTATACAAGGTGTACGGCAACAGGTGGGAGAAATTTGAAGAGGCGATTCCGCACAACAAAAAGTAAAGCAGAAGATAAGAATAAAAAACTTGCGAATTCAGCTTCATTTTCCAGTTATCAACAGTTCGAAGTAAATCTAAGCCTATCTAACATCTAACGAATAATATGGAACATCGCGATACAATAAGAGAAGTGAGTAATTCTGAAAATTAATGGACCAAATGGTTACTAAATAATCTTACTCCCTTCGCTATGGAAAATAATGCTGTGACATTGAAACGTCCGTTTACAAAGCCACAGCGAAATGTATTCATACACATAGATATATGAAATATTAATCGAGATTATTAGCGAAGTTGATCAATGAAAATTAGTATCTCGTGACAAACAGCGCGCGCCATAACTCCATTCTGTTCCGCTCGAAACCTCAAGATTAATCTAGCTGTCGAGTATCGAGTTGACATGAAATTGCTTTACAGTGTAACCCTGTATCTAAAAGTCTTCTGCACGAAATAGGGGCTTCGGTATCGTCCCGTATGAAACACCGTCTTTGCACGTGTATTTTCAGCACTTGGACGAATTCAGACGTGAAAAGGGAACGAAACACGGCAGACGAAATACGAGATATATACACGTACATATGTAACTGCGCGGTCAAATTCTGATGCTCCCCGTCAAATAAATCATTTCTGCACTGTTTGCGAATACTTTATTTACATTTTCACCGGGAACAATCGGTCGGATACTAAAATGCCTCGAAATAGCGTACAGGGAAAACAATTTCAGATACATATTTTTAGAAAATAAAACTATCCTTGAGTCAGTGCATAATTAAATGAAATATTTCATTTCAACGCTGTGTACGTAATACGAAGTGTGATATAAAAGGTAATTCAAGTGGAGTTTAGAAACATTTCATAAATTAGGAGATTATAAATTTCATTAATTTCCGAACTCGTGTGTTATATAACCTCTTTAAAGATTGTCCATCTATATTTATTATACCTTCGTTAAACAGATGTAATAACGAAATCAATGTATTATACAGAGTGCCTCAGTTACTTTTCGATCAAATTTTGTCTGTGTTTTATGGGTATAAAAGGAACAGATTAGTACATCTAGCTTGTTTATGCGAGCTGTGTTTACGTTTTGAGGTCGTTCAAGGTGTTGAATGTAACGTCTGCCAGTGACTATCCTCGTCTTGTATCATAGTTACCATTCCCCTCGTATTTCGTATTTTTAACAAAGCTTGAAACATATGTTTATGTAACATTTCTTTTCTTACTTATACCCTATAGAATATAATGAGAAATTCAGACTCCCTGTAGACATGTACGTGTATTATTCGTAGAAAACAAAAAATAAGGAATATATATTACAAATATTTTTTTTACAAAATTCAACTGTTTACTTGTAATTTTTCCGTTACATATATCTTTCACAAATCGATCTGTTGCGTGTATATAGCCTACACTTTGCTTATTGTTTATTACAAGTCACGTAAGATTGGAGATAAGATTGAACTAAAGTTACCAGTAGATGATCGATATTAATATTTGAAAATACTTAGTTTATTTACCTGGGAATCAATTTATCTTCCAGCATGTTGGCCAGGTCGTCCGAGTCTTCGTTGAGAGCGGTGAAAAAATCTTGGAATTTTTTGCAGAAACTGTTGGTTGGGTTGCTGGTGTGCATGGAAATCTGATCCAGAAAGAAATGTTTCTTTACGGTTTCATGATGTTCCGGTACGGTTGATGTTGCCATATAGTATCCCGAATACGACAATCGAGTGCTTTAACTGTGTAACGGTTTCGCTCGTTTCAATTTTTCCAAAACATTCACTTCGATGCTCTTCATTTAGAACGCAATTCACTGCCTCGTGATAATTCACAATTCACACCACCTTCGGAACTTTTCGAACTACCTGTACGTGGATTGCGTGAAGGAAAGAGAAATAAGGACATCAACATGTTTGTATTTAATTAAATTTGAAAATCTCGTCGACGAATATTCTCACGTAAACGTCGAAACGAATCGAGAGAAATATTCTTCGGGTAATCACGTAACAGGATATTCAATATGTGTCTTTTAAGTTTAATTGTCTTTCGGACGAATGTTAAAGAAGTTGTTTAATTATCGAAAACGAAGCTTCATTTCTACACGTGGATTAAGAGCAATTTTGATGAAACGTTTCACTTATTCTTTTCAAGGAAACACTGTTCGTCAGTGGACGCAACAAGAGCATAAAACATTCATTAGCTGACGGAACAGGAAAAAAGAGACGGTCTCACGCTGTTTCTGTGTAGACTACGGCACGCGACGTTTGCTTCGTCCCGAGGAAGCTGTGCTGAAAACTGAAGCTAGCACGATTGTCGCGCGTCGTTCTAGCTTCACTAGATGCATGTAACTCGCACATGCGCCGACTCGTCTTCAAAGCTCCCTCGAAACAGCGATAACTCGGTGAAAGGTGATCGTTCGTTCTAGCCTCCATGACCATTTTCGATTTTCTTGCGTTTCTCGCGATTATCGTACATTTAAAAAATTAACAACTCGAATAGACGTAAACTGTTCCTCTGTGAACGTTTTCATTAAAGGATCGACGAGAAACGACGTAAACAGACTTGTAAGATTAGATAAATCTCGTTTCAACAAATAAATGGAGCGCGCTTGCTTCATTTTATTAAAACCAGGCTTCGTGTCAAAGATACTTACAATTCGTTGGGGGCTGAATTGATCGATGCTCGTCACTTTAGCTTCTATTGTCCCGTGGAAAGTTCTCAAGCGAATCTTTTGTCTTTTTTTACGCTTGCAAAATAGAGTTGCTCTCTCAAAATAGAAGCCTGATACAGCGACGAGCAGAATGTATTTCAGAAAGTGTCCGAATAATAAAAACCTTACTAATTCGTAATTCAAATTGTATTTGAACGCAAAATTTATTAGCACACCGCATTTTATGCTTGTGTAACTATAGAATACATTTATTCAGTTTCAACATATTTTCCAATCATTTTTGGCGCATCAATTGAGAAAAATGTGAGCGTTATAGTGTTAAACAGTGCAATCGAGGGCAATACAGGTCGAATGCAGTAAAACGAGTGTGAACCAGGACACGTTACTCGAAAATGCACAAATTCTCCAAAACTTGGTCTTCGAGGATTTCTAGGTATCGAAGTGTCGCGATTGGCCCTTACCTCCGGCAGTTTCGTCGGCGCCAACTGGGGGATTCCCAGTGCCTAGACTTTGTTAAGTACGTGTCAGTGGGGAGGCTGGGAGGCGCTCGGTATTTTGCCTACTTATGTTACCCTTCCATTTAAAAAGCTCGAGTTCAACGTGAGTGCTCTCAGTGCAAATCACTCAACTTTCTCATCAGACAAACTGATCTTCACGACAGGAACTTCATCTCTTACTTCATCAAAGCGCGAATTCTTATTCTTTCCTCATCTTCTCTCTCTTCACCCCTATTGTCTCTCTCCCTTAGGTATCTCTACAAACTTATGCTTGTATTTTATACTCATCTCTTATGTTGCAGGTTTCTTTGAAAGTTTTTATTGAAAATTTTTTATTTTATTTAATTATTTTCTTTGATCTTCTATATTGCGCTATCCTTTCTATTATGACAAAAATCACGAGTTACAAAATTCCTAACACAGGTAACCAAGTTCATGGATTTTGGTCCACGCTAATATATAAGTTCAGAATAGTGTGTATGTACTTTTCGTATATTTAAGTGGTTACAAGTTTCCCGCAAGACTGGCAATAATTCAACATTGATCGTCACATTCAACAATATAAGGTGGCGCACACTCGCTGTGTTTGATTCCGAAAGAATACACAGGGTGTGGTTTCATAGGTTTCGGATCATACTTAGGTCCAGGAGAGCGGCAATGTATTTTTTCATCGGGTCGATCAGCTAGGCTATACATCGGCGGTCTTAATTTCACTGGTGCGTCATTATAGAGACGAGGTCCTGGTGTGCCAGCACATTTTAAACCAGCTAATCGTTGTCCTCTATAAAATACACCAAGATTATTTCTAATTCTAATTACAACTTTATAACGCGACTAGTTTAAAAAAAAAAACTCGGTGAATACTGATCATCTTCTTCATCACTATTCATGAAATGAACATATTAAACAGCGATAATTTTTCATTGAATTTTTCTTCCCAGAATTATCATTCTTTGACTGTTTCACTCGTGTTGCACACATGAATGCGTAATATAATTAATACTTGCATATAAAAAGCTGGTCCTGGTATAGGTAATTTTACGTTGTACGGTCCTGGCGTGAAACAGAGATTTCTATGTTTAGTTCTGGATTTGATCGTAAAAGCTGGTGCTCTTGGTGATGGTAACAAATATTTTGGGCCAGGAGTGCAAGAAGTATCTAGCAAAAAGAAACAATCCTGATATAGTTCGTTACTTTTAATGGACACTATTTAAAATCTATAATTTCCACTATTTTACGTTACAATTATGATCGCAGTGAGAACTGAAAAAAACACCGTGGTCGGGTGTATTACAGTTCGAAGGAGCAGAAAATGTAGAGAAAACTGTGTAGTGTCGGTTGCGGTTGGAGGAGGGAATTAAAGTAGAATCCCTTTTGTGAAAAACTGATGAGCAGCGTTTGCTGCGACTTGTACAGCGTGACGAGCACTTTAGAACTATTTGCATGCGACTGTTTCGCAGAAAGGAAGATCTAAGGAAGAGAGGGTGGAGTGACACAGATATAAATATGGAAACAAGAGGAGCGAAAAGTGTTTTGGACCAGGATACAGCTAAGGAGTAATAAAGAGACGATATTCCCGTAAAAATGGTAGATAACAGAATTTCCAAATAATTTGAATCTTTAACTTTTTCAATACTTCAATCTGCAAGTCGTTAAAAAATATTGCAACAACTTGGAAACACCCGCAATAAAAAAATATAACGACGGACTGCATGATGTATCTGTTTACTGTTAGTTTTTATCGATTATCACCGGTCCTTCGACGATTTCGCGCAGGTAAATTATTGTACACCTATTTTCCACGAACAATGAAAAAGGTGTGTGAAATTATTAGCTCGAGACTCTCGTAGATACGTTTTGAATATTCACGAGTTAATAGCTGTGTTACGAGGCCAAGCAGATCGGCCACGAAACGAATAGATAAGTACTGATAAGGTTCTGCAACTACTGTATTCACGAACGACCCAGTGTATGGTTAACACCGGCAGCTGCACGGATGACGCAGTAGCTTTGTTATCACAAGTAGCTACTAGAATTGTTAGAAAAGGGTTGCTTTACGAAATTGATACACCTCCAGCGGCAATTTATCATTGTCGGTTCCTTTACGAAATTGATGTACCTCGAGGGGCAATTTATCATCGCGGAGTTACTTTTTCTAAGTTTCAACTCTTTTAACCCTTTCAGAACAGATTTTCTTTTTAACAAAGGACACAATAATGTTGTTACTCTTGTGACCTGCTCACTCCGGAATCAAGAATATTGTAGTTACCGACAGATACCGATCGACTTTTTTACTCTCGAAGGAACCGGAAACGGAGGCGGACTTTCAAGCAATCTTTGTACTTATAGGGAACAGTTGCATATAAAAAATGGAAATATTTGGCAAATAGTGAACACGTTTATGAAGTTATTTTTGAGAAGACTGTTTTTAGTCTTCTCAATTTTATGCGTTTCAATTTAGAAAGTCAAGGGGTGTTTGAAATTTCAATACCATAATCGCTGAGAGTTGAATTATTGAATCGTAATTGGTTGAATTTTTCAAATATTTCTCCATTGATTGTTGTTCCTAACTTTTCACATTCTACACAATGAAAGTGGAAAAATAGTAATAGTACCAAAAGTCTTTCCCGCCAATCCAAGTGAAAAACCACCGCGTCTGAGACAATTTGGTAGCAAATATTTTGGCCCTGGTCCTAAACATGGTTGCCCATCAGCGAACCTTTTGCCAAATGTATACGCTGGATTTCGATATTTCGAGGTACAATGTTCTTTATAACCTACAAGTGTTTTAAGCAAATACTTTGGCCCTGGACCTGAAAGAAAAAACAAACTTTTTGAAGAATGCATTGTGTAGAATTAAATTTACCGCCATCTCCGTGTAAAGATAATTTGTATTTAATGTTTTTTGAGTTTATTAGCGAGATACGATGTAACGAAGTGACATTTAATTGTTTACCTCTGATACCGCATGTTAAACTTCCTATTTTTTTGTCCGTTTTAGTTTTTGACGGGGAGTTTTGTTTCGGTGGCATTTTTGTACTGGAGAATTTACATTTCTTCCGAAATTTAAGTGAAATGAAATTTAGATGATATTACATTAACCAGTCCATTTTATACGGAAACAATTGAGTGATCTTTTGCTTCGTTCAATCCTGTAACTCTTAACGTTATAGTGTTAACCTTTTCCTATTGGCGCCTATAGTCGTTCAATAGTAATCGATCACATTATTAATTAATATTATACATCCTCTATTTTACAAATATAAAATACAAAAGACTGGTCAGAAAAGCAAATTTTAGCGGTAAATTAATTCATTAACATCTTTTATACGTAGCGACTATTAAATGCCATAACTTGACCGCAGACAGCGACTACTTTACTTCTGAGTGGCCAACAGTCAAAGGGTTAAACTTCGACTGCAATCGTTCTACTTCCATATTTTTTTCTGCTGCGTGGCAGAGAATGCGTTAAATTAAACGACATACCAAATATACAAAAACGTATATTTAAAATGCATAAAACAAGTTGTACAAATATATATAAAATTGACTTTCACAAATTCGAGAGAATTTTGCAAAAATTGACGAAACAATTAATCTTCGTCCATGTGAGTGATAGGTAAACCTGCGCATTCGCTATGTCTCGTACCAAATGAATACTTAGGTGGATGCCTTCCGGTATTATATCCAGGATAATATCTTGGTCCTGGACCTAAATCTATTTTTGCGATTTCAGTCTTCCACTTCAAACTAAACGCTGGAGAACTGCGTTTTATTAGATCACTTTTTAGATTTGTGTAAGCTGCTGGACCAGGACCAATATGTTCTCGCCTAAGTTCGTGAATACCAGCTCTGCAACATAATCACAGTATGTCAAATATTAAGTCCTACAGTGTCTTATTCTGTTAAAAAAAAATCACGAAGATTGGTTATTTTTGGGGCCTTCAAATGAGAGAAGCTTACAATTTACGTAATTATTTTACATAAAATTGTAAGTTTATGCACGTACATAGAAAAAGCACCTTGAGCTACTTTATCTGGAATTTTTGGTCCTATACAAGTTGGTAAATTGTATGCATTTGGACCAGGCCCAATCTCATCCCATTTTGTTTTAAGCCTAGGTTTAATACTGTAAGCAGGAGGTCGATAATTGTGATTCATGGGTAGACACAGTTCTGGATAATGTGCTCCTGGTCCTGGCCCTAAATCTCGTACTAAAAAGAAGAAGAATTATTCGTTTTTACGAATAAAGATTTAGTTCGACAATCTAGAACGAAACTATTCGTATAAGTAATCCCTTTCTACTTGCGATAATTAAATATAATTGTATTGTAATTAAATTGCTTAGAAATTTTTGTCTTAAACAATTTTCCTTCCTGTTGCTATTTAAATAAATTATACTACAAATTATAAATTACACTAATAAATTATACTGTCTGTTTATTTAAATGTATCGATATAAATATGCACCACCTTTAAACGGTGCACGACCAGCTATTGTGTATGCAGGAAGACTGTCCACTCCATAATTTGATAGTTTTGAAATATTATATCGCGGCCCAGGTCCAATACTTTGTACACGAATTTCTGTACGAGGCCTCATTGTATAGGCTGGTCTTCGAGATAAACAATGACCTTCATATCCAACTAATGTCCGTAATTTATATACAGGAGCAGGACCTATACGTATACTTACATTAATATTATATGCATGCTTACTAAAACGACAGTAGAAAATACATCAGCAATTTAGAGATATAAATCGTATATTATTGCAACAATTTTTTGAAATACTTTAAATGAAAAACAGTACAGGACAATTTGTCTTATCACCGTATCTTTTTCTTGTAAGTGGTAATAATATATTCAATCTATTGTGCTGTTCCTAAAAAGAGCAGTGTAACATTTCTTTTTCTGTATACTTCATAAGAAAAATGCTAGCTGATAATATGAACACCTTATATTATTCATATTTACATACAATATATCTGTACATATAAAATAAAATTTGTATAATGTTTAATGTATATAAAAAATTTTATTAAATCCTCCTAATAGAAATAAAATGCATTTTACCGTTACCGGTATGAAAAATATTTATTAATGTAAACTAATTTACTGGAAATAGCGTCGATATAAAAAAATTCTTATTTTACTGATATAAGCTGAATTTATACATATATTTCTGTCCTACATTTCGAGAAATCTTACCTTTTATCATACAACTTAACAACTTTGATTTATTCTTATTCTCCATTTTCGCTAACGAAGAATATATAAAGTTACAACATAATACAAAATAAAAATAAAAATCATTAATGGCTTGAAACTGCATAAAAATGTGAAAACTATATTCAGAGTATTTAAAATAGTTAAATACTCGGAAATAAAACTAAAAATTTTTCTTTCATATATTATCTTACAACATTATCCAGCATTATAAATAAAATTTATAATTCGTAGAAAATTTTACTGTTATAATACATTATTCGTTCTTTTATTAAATTTTGTAGGAAAAGAGGATTGATAAATATTTGAACAATTTATTAATATAATTTATTAAGCTTACAGTATGTAAACGATACATTTCTTCACACGAATATACAACATATGAAAATGAAGGACCCAAGGAAGAATCGAACCCGCGACATTCTGTCGCAAGCCGGAACTCTATGCCCACACATAGCCCACGCAAGCACTTACCTATCGACGCCCGTAATTAACTGACTTTGCTAAAAAGGGTAAGTGACATGTGAGAACAGCCAAATGTCCTGAACAAAAAGATACTAGGTGCCACATTAAATATTGTATAAGTATTAAAATAATCAGTAGTGCGTGATAAATGTAGTAATAAATAATTAATTGATTTATATTCATACAAATCTATTCTATATGTCTATTCATTTATGACATAGCACATAATAAAATAACTTCTTTATTACACATTGTTTATTAATAGAAAGTTAGTGAATTGGTAACAAAACTTACAAAGAATAAAATCATTTTTATTTGAATCAATAATGACGTAGTGTACCACGTCTAATTGCTGGTTGTCGATTTGGTGGTGTTATTGATATATCCAAATAATCACCAATTGTAAACCTAATTACATAAATACATAAAATTATTCCATTTATTTTAAAACTGTCTTTATTTAATAAAAAACACATACCTTGCTTGGGCAAGTGTTTTATTATCATCTGCACCCTTTTGTCCTGAACAAGTAACACCTATTTCACGCATACGGTATCCAGAATTTCGAAGTTCTGGTGTTACTAGTGAAAAGTCAAAGTATGTGCCTTTACTTCTAGCATCTGGATTTACTTCTTTAACTAATCCTGTAATTTCCCTTAATGTTGCATCCATCCTGTGAATCAAGTCAATAAAGATTATAGTTAATTTGACACTTATAAATATATATTTTTACTTTTTGTACAGGTTTTAGAATATTAATAAACACGTCGTTTTTTTTATACATGAATACTAATAAAAAATATTACCATGTATATATTTGTAATTCATTTGAAGGAACGTTTCCTCTACTGTATTCCATTATATTGTGATGTCGGCCTGTATTGCAAAATACTCGTAGTAAAAGTGGACATGTCTAAAAATAATCAACATCACAAACAATTTACATAGAAGTATAAAATAATTACTTAATGCAAAAAATAAAGTAAATTTTTTAGTAATATGAAGTTATACTACATACTTTTTCTCTGTCTATCGGCTTTTCTGGTAATTGTTTTTCATCTACTACCATAGATTCTATTGCTGATGTCATATTTGTAATTATTATGAAAATGTAATAATAAAATAATAGCAACTGTATATATATATTATTACGAAAAACTACTGTGATGACATTTTCATTCGCACAACTTTAGTTAGGTTATTTCCGTGCAAATTTGAAAAGCAGCGGAAGAAAGAACACAGACGAAATATAAGATAGATTTATCATTCAATGTAAATTTTTGTCGTACCGTCCGGGTGCTACGCAAACCCCATTACCAGACGTTATCGATTCAATATTAAATAATGTAACAGCGCTACTAAATGATAAGAATTGCAATGAAATAACGCGATAGTCCACTGCTAAAAATCGGGATCGATTTGTTGATAATTACTGTCAATTACATTGTCCAACCACAGACGAGTTACATGATAGACCTAACATCTTATGGGACTTTGTGTCCGTGGCACTGAGGCCGAGAAGCCCCGTACCATTTTCGTGTCGCTCCCAACGTTACCAATTAGGCATAAAATAAGATAACAACATTAGTTTTTGTTGGTATTAGAACTAAACATAACTATGAAATTACAAATAAGGTATATTTATAAACTATACTTCTAAATAAATGTATAATATATACATTAGATTAAATTTTGAGATTTCTTCGATTTTTTCGATTATTACGCGTTCTTAACGATATCCTTAACTTACAATTAGTTTATATTCCTTTTCGCTATTCCTTTCATTGCTAACACACGGTACTGTTGCTATCCTTGTATAACCCTATACCTTTCCTTGTTTTACTCATGTAACATCTAGAGAATCGTCAAAAATGAAATATTATCATGTTAGTTGATTTTAAAAAATGGAGTACTTCGTATTATTCGCTTTTAATAATAGTTATTGTAAATTAGAGCATAAATGCATGTAGTAAGAGTATAAATTGATACTTATAGTAAAAGTTTTAATTGCTTTAACATTACCAATGTGTAGATAATAAACTAAAGTTTCTGGTTTACTTTCAAATACTTTAATTATAGAATAAGTAATGTTTCCTGTTAAATAACAATTTAGATGGTTGTTCATAATTGTTGTAAGTCTTAAATAAAATTATTGTATGCTTTAACTTCATGAAACAGCTTCATATACTGCTATTTCATTGAATGAATCACTGTATTCGGTAGATTAGCTAGAAATTGTTTATAACTTTTATTAAATATTAGAAAAATTAATGTTCTTTTCGTATGAATTACAGGTAGACTTTCCAGGACATCGGAGAAATCAAGGAAAAGACTTAAACATCAGGGAAAACAAAGAAATGCAATTATTTGATAATAAATCAATTATTTATTGTAAAATTATTGTATAAAATGTATATTACAAAAGGTTACAATATACCAGTACTGTTTTACAGCATTTTACAGTCTATTTACTTCTTCCACCTATTTATAATTTCTACTTATTTACCATAAGTATCAATTTTAAACTGTTTACTAGATGCATTTATGCTCTAATTTACAATAACTATTATTAAAAACGAATAGTATGAAAAATTTCTATTTTAAAAATCAAATAACCTGTTAATATTTCATTTCTGACGATTCTCTCGATGTTACATGAGTAAGACAAGGAAAGGAATAGCGGTAGACAAGGATAGCAACAGTACCGCGTGTTAGACAAGGAAAGAAATAGGGGTAGATAAGGATAGCATTAGTACCATGTGTTAGACAAGGAAAGGAATAGCGGCAGACAAGGATAGCAACAGTACCCTGTGTTAGACAAGGAAAGCAATAGGGATAGACAAGGACAGGAAAAAAGTGGAGAACGAGACTAACGCCATCTCGCGTTTGGCTTCGCGAAGTAACGATTTGTTAATAGGATAACAGAATATAAACAGAGGTATCAGACAAGGAAAGCACTAGTGTGCGACAAGGACAGAGAGAGAACGCTTCCTATTGGCTGAGGGCACCCAAGCTCGACCAACCACGGGCTAAACCAAGTCGGTCCGTGAAAAATCATTAATAACTCATTAATTACGATGATTCTGTGAACTTTTAGAATTGAAGAATGAAGAGTGAACCTTCAGCAACTTTCCCATATAGTTTTTAATGCTCTAAACCCTTTCGATAATTAGTTATTAACAATTTTAGTACGTGATGTCGGGAACGATACCGCATACCGTCAAGTATCTTTGCGGTTTTTCAATAATTTCATAGCTTTCTGCTAAATTCGCATGTAAATAACTATACGCATCCGAAAGGCAACACCTTTAGCTACATTCTTTTGTAAGTTTCATTAACATATTCGGTTTAGTTTAGGAGTTATTAAACATTATAGGGGACAGTCTCCTATTCGTCGTACTCGAGTGTAGTCAACTGTAATAAAAAATTGCGAATATCTATGAATCTATCTATAAATTGTGAACTTTTAGGATTGAAGAATGAAGAGTGGGTCTTCAGAAACTTTCACATATAGTTTTTAGTGCGCTAGACCTCTTCAATAATTAGTTATTAATAATTTCAGTACGTGATGTCGGGAACGATACCGCATACCGTCAACTATCTTTGCAGTTTTTCAATAATTTCATAGCTTTCTACTAAATTCTCGTGCAAATAACCATATGCGACTGAAAGGCAACACCTTCAGCTACATTCTTTTGTAAGTTTCATTAACATATTCGCTTTAGTTTAGGAGTTATTAATCATTATAGGGGACAGTCTCCTATCAGTCGTACGCGAGTGTAGTCAATTGTTATAAAAAATTGCGAATATCTATGAATCTATCTATGAATTGTGAACTTTTAGGATTGAAGAATGAAGAGTGAACCTTTAGTAACTTTCCTATATAGTTTTCAATGATCTAAACCCTTTCAATAATTAGTTATAAACAATTTTAGTACGTGATGTCGGGAACGATACCGCATACCGTCAAGTATCTTTGCGGTTTTTCAATAATTTCATATCTTTCTGCTAAATTCGCATGGAAATAACTATACGCATACGAAAGGAAACACCTTTAGCTACATTCTTTTGTAATTTTTATTAATATATTCCTTATACTTTGATAGTTATTTAACATTCTTTGGGTCAGTATTACAATCGTCGCATTGAAGCGTAACATATTTTCGTTATTTCTATCGATATACGTAACTAATTGTGGACTTAAAGGCATGAAGAATGTAGAATGGACTTTTATCTATATTGTGCAATGAGTTTGGTTGCTCTAAGTTATGTGGTTTATTAGATATTAGCAATTGTTGAAAACAGTTAACTATACTCTTATACTATGTATAGGGAACACTCTCATATAATGTTTAATAACTCCTAAACTAAACCGAATATGTTAATGAAACTTACAAAAGAATGTAGCTAAAGGTGTTGCCTTTCGGATGCGTATGGTTATTTGTACGAGAATTTAGTAGAAAGTTACGAAATTATTGAAAAACTGCAAAGATACTTGACGGTATGCGGTATCGTTCCCGACATCACGTACTAAAATTGTTAATAACTAATTATTGAAAGGGTTTAGATCATTAAAAACTATATGTGAAAGTTTCTAAAGATCGACCCTTCATTCTTCAATCCTAAAAGTTCAAAATTCATAGATAGATTCATAGATATTCGCAATTGTTTATAACAGTTGACTATACTCGAGTACGACGGATAGGAGACTGTCCCCTATAATGATTAATAACTCCTAAACTAAAGCGAATATGTTAATGAAACTTACAAAAGAATGTAGCTGAAGGTGTTGCCTTTCAGTCGCATATGGTTATTTGCACGAGAATTTAGTAGAAAGCTATGAAATTATTGAAAAACTGCAAAGATAGTTGACGGTATGCGGTATCGTTCCCGACATCACGTACTAAAATTGTTAATAACTAATTATT